TTTATCTTGCGTGCCATATGGAAGGTTCTAAAAAACCACGACACAATTATATTGAAGACTGTGGAGTATAGACGTCTAAAAGTAAACCTGACAATCTGTATTGATATTAGCAAATCAATGAAATTTTTATTATCGGTGAAATTCTTATTTCGAGGAAAATTGAAGTCTTAGACGTCTTGGAAATCAGGTGGTTGTAGTGAGATATACTACATTCCTTTTACAGAACTTTAAGAATTTTAAAAAATAAAATGCAAAATACCTAAACACAAAACGAACTAACAGATGTGTTAGGTTATGCATTATTTTCAAAAATGTACTTCCCTGCAACTTAAAAAGTATGTGGTCTTTTGGGGGTTGGAAGATGTAAAGAGTATGTGGTCTTTTGGGGGATAGCAATCAGCAGAGCGCCCTATCTCCACCATGAGGCTTCAATTGGTTTCCCATTTTCTTATTTTAAATCCTTATTGAAATGAGAAGCACTTTAGTTCTGAACATATAATCCATCATTTCCAAAAGAAGACTCTTGTTGGCATGTTGTATCAATAAAGAATTATTTAATTGTGGTAAGGTACAACTCTTGTAAATCATTTCTTCTAAAAAAATTATTTTTTTATATGGTAAACTGAATTCAACATACTAACCCTTTTGGAACATTTTTACCTTGAAAAACTACTTTGAATTCAATGAAAATATACTATTTTCTCTCTCGAAATATGACTCTTTTTTAGTATATGAATTAGTTTTGAATAGGACATCTTTTATGGGACAAAGGTTGCATTAGTTTTGAATTGTTAAATTTCCTACGCCTAAAGCCTTTCGACTGTCAAATAAAAGAACATAAAATGGAAATAAGCAAGAAACAATCAAGCATGAAGCATCCTTTACTGTTCATGATTTTGTGTTGATTATGAGTGAAACAAAATAGCTTATGGGTATTATCTTTATATTATCTTTCACCCATGTATTTGAATTACTGTTTTGTTGGTGTCCTAATATTTTTCTTCTTTTATGGTAGAGGGAGAATTGGTGTTACAGTATTGAATTTTTAGAATTATTAAAGAATTGGTGTCACTATAATTTCATTACTACTCTAGCCACTAGTAACATTTTTTTAAACAATCTTCATTTTAGTCATAAATATGTAATTACTGATACGAAGTAATTAAAATAGCATGGTGACACGGTGTGTTTAGTTGTTTCCTATCTAACGGGTTGTGTCTAATGGTTCTATCTAATTGCTGTTTAATAACTCAACTATCTTGTGGAATTGGTAATCAAAATCATATAAAGTAAAATGAATTTGGGAAAGTTATAAAGTGATATTAGCTTAAACGCCTCAGGCATAGTGTGACTGTTTTCTTCTTTTACTATTATTGTGCATTAATTCTTTTCGATCTTATGGATGCCATCTTTATGATTGTGTAGTTGGGGCTCTTAAAAATCAGGTGACCATTGGTCATCCTAGATGCTTTCAAATGACCATGGTTGATTGAATGAAGGGCTTAAGAAAATAATATAGAGCTAATCAATGCAAATAAAGTGTTTGATAAAATGACTAAATCTGAACGGGTATAATGTGTTATAGATTTGAAATGAGATGTAAGATTACATTGACACTTAAAAACTAAAAGGTTTTTTGCTTACATATTAGAAGTGTTGTTTGATTTTTGAAAAACTCTCTGGATCTAAAATAGTGTTAATTTTTTACGAATATTTCCCCGTTGGGTACCCGTGGGTCTAGCGGATCGGGGCGGGGGATGGGGCGGGTCGAATAGTAGTGGGGGATGGGGCGGGGGTGGGGGCGATTTTTTAGACATGGAGCCGGGATGGGGGAGTGAACCCTCGCCCCAACCACGCGCCCATTGCCATCCCTACTCATCACCCAAGAACTTCAAAGTTAAGTGTGCTTGCACGGGAGTAGTCTTGGGATTGGTGACCCCTGGGAAGTTTCTCAGGGCGTGCATGAGTGAGGACAAAGTGCGCGGTATGCTCGTGGTGGTTTGTGAGGACAGTACTAGAGGTTCGGAGGGTGTGTCAGGAGTAACTACCTCGTGTCCTGCGGGGCCGGGGTGTTACACAATGAGTCATAAGTAAATAATGCTCTCTAACTGTCAAAAATATTTTAGATGTTTCCATTAAAACCGCTCAAGTCAAATATGGAAATTAATTTCATAAATACCCCGTCGACCGCTGAATGTTCTGTCCCACACCAGAAAGCTATAAAACAATAAAACACTATATAAGGCTTTGGGCTCCTCCTATCAGGTTGTGACCAATTCCGGTTAAGGTTTGACGGCTTGTTTAGCACCCATGATTACGGGTAGCTTGTTAAGGGTCTGTTTGGCCCATTTATACACCCCGATATTGTTCATCCCAGATCAGGCTGAGGGGACGTGTTAAAGTATTTGTCCCACACCGGAAAGCTATAAAACAATAAAACATTATATAAGACTTTGGGCTACTCCTCCTATCAGGTTGACCTTTTAGGATGAACCCTAAGTCTTAACAGCTAGTTCATTCATAACACATGTTTCATTTTCAATATAGACATGCTTGATTGTATTATCCCCCCATATTTTATTAATACTACAATTTTCTATTTGTTTTGTTTTGTGCAAATTAACTGAAACATATTTTGTATAATTTTCATCTATATGTTGTGCAACTTTATTTTATGTCATCACAATGCACTTTTATAAATATAATATTGTTCTTTTCTAATTTTTTTGTGCGCTTATATTATTTTTATTGTGCAACTTTAAAAGTGTACTCCACATTTATCATGTCGAATAAACTTATGATTAGGTTAGGGCATGGTTTTGGTGGGATTTCTCATGACGTGATAAATGAGAATGACCTAAACGATCGGTGCACATGTCGAAGATGGAAAATTAAACTATTGTTTTCATTCCTATGTTGAATAGAGTACATCAAGATATAAATCACTAAGAGATTTTAACGTATAACTAAAGAAAAATAATGTGTATACCCATAAATAGGGATATGACATAAGAACATATTGATGTGTTTAATCAGAATAATATATTACTATAATAATATAGGAGTAATATAAAGCTTCGCCTGGAAAATAGACCTAAGAATGAGTGGGAAATGCAAATTTCTTTTGAACAAACACATCATCAAACACTTACGTGAAATTTGAGAACCTAAGTTGAAGTAAAGCACATGTACTCTGGTGAGCCAAGGAAAGCAAAATGGTTCCATTTGTAAAAGTAAATCAAAAGTATGTGGAAATCAACTTAAACAAATTTAATTGGATTCATTTACAAATCAATGTCAACCAAATATGTTTATGCATACAAAGTTTTAAGGAAAATGGATGCAACTCAATTTCAGAGAAATCAACGTATTATAGTACCCTAGTACAATGTGGTGATTATTGTCTTTGACCACAATTCATTCTCTTGTTGTGAAAAAAATGGAGATTATATAGGAGGAAAAATAATAGGAAAAATACTAGGTTTGTGATCCATAACAGGAAAAATAAAATAAAAAATCAAGTAGAAGCATGTAAGGGATGAATGGGGAAATTACGGTATTTGATGAGACATTAAACAAAGCATTATTAATATGTTATCGTTGAATGATTCAGGCATCTTTAAAGCAAGTACATTATACATTTCTATTGTTGTCAAATATATAACTCAGAGTGGAATTGTGCCTATAATGATTGTAGCAAACCCTCTATGCAACCAAAATCTCATCCATCCTTCATACCCACAAGTTATAAACATTTCCACAACATGATGGTTTGTGGTTTGTAATGTGACTTCTATTGCAAACATTACACCGTGCTCAAGGTGTGTTGATGTGAAACGATACAATTTTTTTAAAAAAATTACCAAACATCCTCCACCCTCTATAATTGCTCCTTTATTCCACACCTAGGCTTCGTTCCCTGTTCTACCATGCCTCTTTCAGTTCGCACATGGCCCTCCGGGCTTGCAAATTTGAAACCTGAGTTCTCATCTTTGTTCGTGTTAATGCGCCGTTGTAGTGAATTCGCAAGTCCATCCGTAGAAAAGGTGAAAGAGCCAGTGAGGGTGTAATATGAGTTACACTCCAAGACGTGAGTTACATTTGCAGTTAACTAAGATTACATTTCGTAACAATGGGAGTTACATTTCAATACACATGATTTACGTTATGAAAAATATTAAAACAAAAAAGTATTGTTTACGTATGGGAGCATCACATGGTATAACAATTTGACTTTTATTAGTATTAGTATTGATAAAATGTGACTTTTTTCATAAAAATTAATTAAAATGTGACTTTTACTATAAAACGAGTATAGTAAGACGGAGTAAATTTTACGGAGTAGTTACTAATATCATTTCGATGTTATTATTATATAATGATTATGAATGTTTGAAAATGTAACTTGAGTTATATTTTTATAATGTGTTATTATTATTGGAAATAGTAGTAGTATTTAGAATGTTTTTACTTGAATGTTTTCAGTCTCAGATCATGCTAGAATAGAGCAGATCAGATCAGACTTCGATCGTTATAAAATATATAGAAATTAGACATTTATCTGACCACATAAGACCAACTCAGATTAATCAGATTAGACTAGATCAAAAAGTTTAATAAAATTAAAATTAAAAATATCCTTAATATGGTGCTCACCGTACAACCGGATATTTTATGTTAAAAGAAATGAGAATAATGTTTTAAAGAAATGAGGTTAATGTTTAAAAGAAATGAGTATTGATATTGAATTATGAAATTAACACAATAAATATTTTTGATAATAATACAATGATTATATAATTAAGTGAATAAGTTGATTTATAGCATATACTTCGTATATTATATGTAGATGGTGATATTCAATTACATGCTCATAGTAGTCAATTGTGCTATCAATAAAATAATTTAATATCAAAACTCATTCTTTTGTATACGTGCTAGCAATATAATAATGATTTAATAACAAAATTCATTTCCTAATGTTATACGTAGTAGTGTTTATACTCATTTTTAACATAAAATACCTGGTTAAGTGGAATATGTTTGATCACGCAGTTCACGGGTGTGTAAGTGCAACTGCTTACGATCTCGGCTGTCGTTAATTTGCAATGAAGATTTTATTTTTGATCAAGTTTTGAACTTGTGATGCTTTGATCCTTGAAAAGCCGAGAGTATTTTTCTTTCTTGGTCTGGGTAGTGTTTTTTTGTGCTTTTTTTCATTTCTTCTTCTTCTGGCTTGTTTGGTTGAGGTGTTCGAGGAAGATTGAAGATGAGGGAGACGACAGCGTCTGTAATGTGTTTGTGGTTTCTTCTGTGTGGGTCTTGTTTGGGTCGGTTCGTTGTCGAGAAGAACAGCCTGAAAGTGACATCCCCTGACTCCATCAAAGGCGTGTACGAGTGTGCGATTGGGAATTTCGGGGTTCCGCAGTATGGAGGAAGCATGGCGGGCACTGTGGTTTATCCAAGCTCCAACCAGAAGGCATGCAACAGCTTCAATGGCGTCTCCTTCAAATCCAGGCCTGGTGGCATGCCTATCGTCCTTCTTGTCGATCGTGGAGGTTATTTTTCTTTCGTCCCTTTTATTTTTAATTTCATTTTTGCTGAATTTCATTGTGTTCTTTTTTATTAGTTGATGGTAATTCATTAATTTAATGGTCAAGTTTTGTTGTTGCTAGAAGTGGAATTACTGCATTAAATATAACTACATTTAATTTGAAAATGCATTAAATATAACTAGATTTATCACATGCCACATTTAGTAATATTGGTGTGATTCTAATTCATTTTACTTCATTCATGTTTTAAAAATTCTATACCAATCACATAATTTCACTTGTATTAATTATTGCGTCACTTGTTCCTATCTCAATTTTCGTGGGACGGAGGTAGGGACATATAAGGCTTTAATCTTCTATTACCATGAGGTTAATCTTATCAGATTTGAAGAACTTGTTATTACGAGGTTAATCTTTAATCTTTGTGTCGGCTTCCATGAAAAGATGCATAAGGGTATGGCCCTGTGTGTCTCTATAGGAAGAAATGTTGCAAGGGACATGATGGTGTTGAAGGATTTGTGCCACATCGGCTAAAACCCAAATCTTAACTTGTTATCTATATTTTTAATTTTTTAGTTGTTCTTTCCCTGACATGTTTTTTTTGTATTTGCGGTTGTCTCTGGCAGATTGTTACTTCACTCTCAAGGCGTGGAATGCCCAAAAAGCCGGAGCAGCGGCAATTCTGGTTGCTGATGATAGGGTTGAGCCCTTGATCACTATGGATACCCCAGAGGAAGAGGATTCACACGCAGATTATCTACAAAAGATAACCATTCCATCTGCACTTATTAGCAAGTCCCTTGGGGATAAAATAAAAAAGGAACACTCTAAAGCAAAAGAAATGGTTGTCATAAGTCTTGATTGGAGAGAATCTCTTCCACATCCTGATGAGAGAGTTGAGTATGAGTTCTGGACAAACAGTAACGACGAATGTGGGCCCAAGTGCAGTAGCCAGATAGGATTCATTAAAGATTTCAAAGGAGCTGCCCAGATACTTGAGCAGAAAGGATATACTCAGTTCACTCCACATTACATAACTTGGTTCTGCCCGGAGGCTTTTGTTTTGAGCAAGCAGTGCAAATCTCAGTGTATCAACCATGGGAGATACTGTGCACCAGATCCAGAGCAAGACTTCAGTCAGGGTTATGATGGGAAAGATGTAGTTTTGCAAAACCTGCGCCAAGCTTGCTTCTTTAAGGTGGCTAATGAAAGTGGAAGGCCATGGCTTTGGTGGGATTATGTTACAGATTTTTCTGTCCGTTGTCCAATGAAATATAAGAAGTACACCAAAGAGTGTGCTGATCAAGTAATGCGATCACTTGGTAGGTTATTGGTAACTTTGGACTATTATTCTTTTTTTAAATGACTTTTAATTAACGGGTAAGCACAAGTGTTTGTGTTGTCCTATGTCATATTCTCACTTCAATTAAATGCTACATTTAGAATACAGAAAGTGGCGAGGAAAGAAATTGTTGCAATTATGATTTAATTGCTGAAAATTTTACATATTTTTAAAATTGTTAGTCTTTATATTATAGATTATAGAAGTATTTAAATAAATTGAGTTTACAAAAATATCTACAACTCTTTTCTTGAGTTAAACAATTTTTAAATTTCACCTATATTTTTTCTCCTTACAATTTTCCTCCCCATTTTTGCTTCGTAGCATTTCCCACATTCTACACGGAACAGGACTCTTAGAGATTTATAAACTAATTTCAAAATCTATGTTAGTGACACTTCGTAATGCTGTGTATATATGACTTCATGATATGTTTGACCTTTATTTTTTATATATATAGCTCATGTAGATGTATTTGTGCATTTATAATTCCCATAATTGTGATTCTTCTGTTACATGGATATCATGCATGTTATGTTCTGATTAAAAATTTCCGTATTCGGAATATGAGTCATTACTATTTCTTTACCTTGGTTTACTGCAATGGAACATAGGCATTGATCTTAAACAGATAGAAGATTGTGTTGGGGATCCTGAGGAAGATACTGAGAACCCTGTTCTAAAGTCAGAACAGGAAGCACAGGTGTGAACCTTCTAATAAATACTGATATCTCTAAGCTACAATTGTTTTTTTAAAACATGGCTAGATCTCAAGACAAAGCCATATATAAGACATTTGGAGTATTGGACTATCCATTCTATTAAGTTGAACTTTTTGAGAGCCTAATATGCTCAAATGAGCAACTCGATCCTACTAAAACTAAAAAAGAGCACAAGGATTTCATGATTGATATACTCAATCGAACCACTATCTATGTATGTATTCAAATTTTCGTTTAAGATATTGAACTATTTCACCTATTAAGTTGATCTTTTATGATGGAATTTCAAGTTTTAGTAAATAACTTTGTGCTTCCTCGGTTGAAGTTTCTACTTCTTTGTTCAAATTTCAGATTGGCAGAGGTTCTCGTGGAGATGTTACTATGTTGCCTACTATTGTTTTAAACAACAGACAGTATAGAGGTATCCTCTCCCTTACTTTATACAGGGTACTTGTTAGAAATCCCAATTTTGTTAATCACTAATATTCACTATACAAATTGTAGGGAAGTTGGACAGAGGAGCCGTTCTTAAGGCTATTTGCTCAGGATTTGAGGAGACAACAGAGCCGTCAATTTGCTTAACTGATGGTAATTTTCTGTACTCTTAGACTCATTTCTGTCCCAAAAATTAAGTTCACTTTCATCAAATTTAAGTTAATTTGATTGATATTTGCCAAAAGAACCTGACAGAGAGTCCCAAACAAGCTACATATGATAAATTTAGTTAGAGTATGTATTTCAAACTTTTGTGTAATTATCCTTTAGACTAGGTAGGAATGCTATGCGCCATGAAAATGTGTTTTCAAGTTATTTCCTCAATTTTCTTCACAGATATACAAACAAATGAGTGCTTAGTGAACAATGGTGGATGCTGGGAAGATAAAGATGCTAATATTACAGCATGCAGGGTAATAATCTACTAGTATATATTAATTCCCATAATACCCTTTTCTGTTGGGATTCCGAAGCTTTCATCAACCCCTACTCACATTGTTCAGTTCTGCTGTAGGACACTTTCCGTGGGCGGGTGTGCGGTTGTCCCACTGTGCAAGGTGTGGAATTTGTTGGTGATGGTTACACTCATTGTGAAGGTAAACACGTAGTTTAAATAATTCATCAACTTACTACTGGGGTGGGGTCTAATGCTCTTGCTTTCTTGTGGGCTTAATAGCACCTGGAGCACTGCGATGTCGACTTAATAACGGGGGTTGTTGGAAGCAAACCAGGGATGGTCTAACATATTCTGCTTGCAATGTGGGCAGTTTTCTGTTGCTACATTGCATATTTATTAATTCACCTTTTAGGAAAGTGGTGAGTGTTTCTTAATTTCTTTTTGTGCCTTTTTCAGGATGACCGCACACAGGGTTGCCTGTGTCCTCCAGGTTTCAAAGGTGATGGGGTTAGTACTTGTGAAGGTAGAGTTTATTACTATTTGTACTTCTGTCATAAATGCCATAAGTGATGTGATCAGTGAGAATCATCTGGAATGTGAATTATGCCCAACTGCATTGCGGTAAAGCCTTTTCATCATTTTCATCATTTTCATTTACCCCAGTGCCGCAAAGGCTCCCACCTATGGTGGGGTAAGGGGGGGTCGGATGTACGCAGTCTTACCCCTGTACTAAAGCACAGAGAGACTGTTTCCGGATGACCCATAGTGAAAATCGCGTCCAAAATTGCATGGACTGACTGCTTCTCCATAGCAAAGAAGCGCAGACAGTTTAGTGAGTCATTTTGCTTTATTCCATCATAATCTCAAGCCAAAAAATAATGAATATTTGGCTCCATTGCAGGCTTGGTCCAGAGCGGACAATATCATACTAATGTGGAGTTAAGGTCACGTTTGTGGTTCTAACAATAAAAAACTTTACAATGTTCCTTGCACTTGAGCCTAATCCATAGATTTCGAAGGTTATAAATTGTAATAATTCGTTTAGAGATGCATTACAATTGATTTCAACTTTGGCCGTTTTGCAGATATTGATGAATGCAAGGAGAAAACAGTGTGTCAATGCCCTGAATGTAAATGCAAGAACACATGGGGAGGCTATGAATGCAATTGTCATGGAAATCTCTTATACATGATTGAGCACGACACATGTATAAGTAAGTACATCAAAGTCTTTGTTTGGTGTAAAAGGCGTTTTCAGTTGATATGCACTGCATTTTAAGCACTAAAAGTTCTTTGAATTTATATCCAGTTAATAATTCCAATCTACTTTCATAGCTAAATTAACTATCATGGCACACTTTAATTTCTTTATTAGGCTTTACTTTCAATTTTCAATTAGGCTTTGTTTAAATGTATTTTTTTATCTCTGGAAAGCAGGTAAAGCTGCATATACCGAGATTAGCTGGGGTTCTGTTTGGGTCATCATACTTGGAGCGGCTGCTGCGGGACTTGCAGGATATGCCGTGTACAAGTACAGATTCCAGGTATGTGTTGCTTACATTTTTTATTCACTTATTCAAGAATTCCCCTTCAGTTTCATGCATCATAGAGCCCGTTTAGTAAGAGTTATTTGGCTGACATGCTGAATTTTCTAAAAGTAAAAGCGTTTTGTAGAATCCATTTCAGGAAAATAATCAAGTCAAAAGCTTATTTGACTTATTTTCATTAGTACAAAGGTAAGAAGAACAAGCCACTATTGCCTACCAAACACAGGCTATAAAAGCCCGCTGGATGGTTTTTGAAATGACTGAAATGGTTGATGAACTTAATTGGTTGAAGTATAAAAGGTGGTTGGTGATGTTTTGGCTTGAATAAATGATTTAGTGTGTAATCATGTGAAAGGAGACTTGATAAACTCTTAGTTTGAGACAGTATAAAAATAGGGAGTCGTGTCATTTGAGCTTAAATCAGCCACAAAAGTCAAGGATACGGCTCATTTTTGCCTATAAATTATTATCAGCAGAATTAGCCAAATCATGGGGCGTTTGGTGATTATTGGCAGAATTTTCAGTCTTTTTCAGCTTGGCTCATTCAAGCTTACCAAACGGGCTATGAGTCTTTCGTGTACTGGTTTTCTACGTTGATTAGGAGAATACACACTTTTGGCTATCGAAACAGAGTTTTAGATATTACATGCATTCTCTTTGTTAATCTATTGATTACATTTGCATTCTCTGCAGAGGTACATGGATTCGGAGATTCGTGCCATCATGGCGCAGTACATGCCGTTAGACAATCAAGGGGAGGTCCCCAACCACATTGTCTCCCATGGAAACTTCTGAGTATCAAGCTCCTCCCGTCGCAGCTGAATGGTGGCCCACTCGGTGGTGTTACTTGGTGGTGTAAAGAGACATGTCCTCCGTTGCTGATCCAGAACCGAAACCCTCTCGTTTTAAGCTCAAGGACCATCCTCCTTTTAGCAGCAGATATGCCACTGCCTTCTTGGATAAAATGTTCCATTTAATGGACAAATGATGTTCTACCCATGTATATATATGTAATCTGTAGGACATCCACTAAGCTCCACTAAGCGGTAGATAGGAAATTTGCATGTAATGCTGTCCTCTCTTAAGATAAAATACAGGGATATCCCAGAAGAAACTCAAAAAATAAGATTAAATTTAACATATTTTGCCAAGTAAGATTTTGTCCCTTCCTAAAAATAGGACTTATTAAATTAAACCTAGGACTTGAGGAATCCTAATTTTATTACGGAGTATAAAACAATGATATGGCGATGTATATGGCCATGTCACCATATGTATACATTATTCATGGTTTACTCTTATTTTTAGTATTTTGTTGATACTTGCAATGGAGCCAAAGATCACTATTATTTGGTTTGAGAATATGATGGAATAAAGCAAAATGATTCACTAAATTGTCTGTGCTTCTTTGTTATGAAGTAGCAGTCAATTCATGCAATTTCGGACGCGATTTTCATTACAAGTCATCCAGAAACAGTCTCTTTGTGCTTTAGTACAAGGGTAAGATTGCGCACATACGACCCCTTACCCCACCATAGATGAGAGCCTTTGTGACACTAAGTTAATGATAATGATGATGACGATGATGCTGATGGCCGAGTCACTTCTAGACTTCTAATTTGGATTTTAGGCTTTCTTTCAAAAAACAGTAAAAAAAAGAAGATTCCGATCTCATTTGAAAAAAATGGGTTTTAAACTTTAAAGCAGTTCGGACTAGGTTCGAGTAACAGTTCTGGCTCAGAACTAAACACAGGTGCCAATTTCAGAGCCAGATGCATCCCAGTTGGAACTGGATTCATTTCTGCTGGCAAAGGGTGCAATATTAAATCTGTATCTCCGTACTGTAAACATGTCCAGTCTATCAAATTCTTGTTACAGTTTCAACCTTCGGGTATTAATGTTTTCTTCTTAATAATTTCGCATTTATGAAAATGAGAATGAAATATGGAGATGCATTCCTAGATGAAATGTCACAAACTTACGCAGATTCGCAGGAGTATTTGCAAACCACACCATTGCTAAATGCCAATTACATGCATAAAGAAACTCTGTTTGCATACAATGATATGGAATTATGGACGGGTATTCCTCCCAAAGCGGGCAGGGAAACTTATTACAGTACTTACATCATTACATCATTTTATGGTTTAATATAAAAGAATGATGGCATGTGATCTAAAGGATGGTTTCCCGTGAAGAATGATTTCGATATGTCATTGCAATGAACGCCGCTGAGCTGGCCCTGAAATTAAGGAATATGGACGTTTTATAACTTATAAGCTTTTGTAGAACAAAAGAAAAGGAATGAAGCCCAAAAAACATGTGTAGTGTGTAGTAAGTAGTAACTGAAACTTATTAAACCTTTCATAACCATCAATTTTCTGCTCCCTTAATTTGCTCGCCATCGCTTATCAACATCCTGCTTGCAAAGAATGCTGCCATGCAGCCACTGCAGGAAACAAAGTCAACTGTCAATTTGTCCAGCAAACTAACATCTCACAATTAGTTTATGACCTGTTTAGCATGAATAACCGCTAACTGTGTCTGCATGAACTTTATCAATTAGGTTACGAAAGTAGTCACTTTGAGTATCGTACGGGAGTACATGATAATCATGAAAGTAAAGAAGAATTGAAACCTGATCAAGGTTGTAAAAAAGTTGACACAGAATCCACTCTGCAATTAACCAAAGAATTACTCATATTAGTTAATGGTTAAAATACTCTAGAGCAAGGGCCAACGGGGGGCAATAACCTTTTTACCTGAAACAGTAGGCGCACTTCTCTTAGAAACAAAATTGTAGCTATTGCTGCAAATACAAAACAAACCAATAAACACCACTATGAAATATCCAACTAACCCAAGACTCACAGCCTCACAGGGTATGAGTCTTAGACTATGAAAATTAGGAATTCAATTGAACTTACTTCGGAACTAGTCTAGATCATACAAAAAAGTCTAAATCAAACCTGACTTAGACAGACCAAACTAAACTAAACCAATATATGTAGTATTAAATAATAATAAAATGCACTTTCTCTCCAAATGAACAGGTCCTTAAACTATGGGTAATTGGTGATGGTTTAGAATAACATAGAGTGAGTCCCAGAAAAAATGATAACTCTTACAGATATAAATGGGAGAAAATTGTAGCAGAGGTATGGGAGAGAATGTAAATAAAAGACTCCTATGGCAAAACAGCCACTTCAGAATAACTCTAGCACAATGAAATACAAACCTGTCTCTCCTCTTAAAGCGAGAGAAGTTGATTCTCCCTTTCTCCAACATCTTAGATTTGAGATACTCAAGGCCAAAAGTGTACCACCAAGTATAACCCCAAACCGGATGGCATTGATGCTTCCTGTCAGCATGAAGTACAAAAACCCGCTGACAGAAAGAAGAGCACCTGGAAAAGGATCAAGGATGAAAAATTCAAGAAGGAAACCATACCAGCATGTAATAATCCACCTAAGATGAATACAATGTTCTGTGTGCTGAAACAACTCATTTAAACAAAATTAAAGCATTGGACTACTGACTACATACCATATGGTATTCCAAGGTGAAAGTCACGAATTTTTGAGGCATCATTTAGTTCATCAGTTGAGGAAGCAAATGTTTCAACAATATCCTTTACAGGTTCAGGAGAATTTTTAGAAGCTTTAGCAAAATATTCTTTACTTTCCTTGCTTATTTCCTTTGCAATCATGCTCAAATCACTTCTTGCTTTCTTGGATTGAGTCTCTATTTTTTCTGAAGTTTCTTTCAAAATGCTGATGGCCTTCTTGGAATATTCATCATATGCTTCTGGTGATAGATTCCGTATTTTTATGGCTTGTTCTCTTATATAACCTAAGCTCCTTTCCCAGACATCTTGTGTTTTCTCTTCATCTGTTTTAAGGCTGCCCTTCTCCACTTCAACATTAATTTCTACAGGCTCCTGAGTAAACAACATGAAATTTTAATTCATGACAATAAACCATATTCTTTACGCATCATATAAAAAGCAAACCATAAAACGTATAAACTACACATCAACCCAAGTGTTAGACTGTAAGGAAAGTACACCATTACATAAATGATAAATCCAACTGATGGCTTATGGCTTCAAACCTTATCAGCACAATTAACAAACCTAGTCAATAATCATACCATCATTGCAGTCCATTTTATTTACTTTTGGCATCTCCATTAAGCTCCTACTTTCATGTCCACCCATTAAATCGCTCAAACTAACAAAAAGTACTTCAAAAAAGATGTTTTGCATAAACATTTACATAAAATATATACAAATCGGCATATACCGTGAAATCATGGATGATAATTATAAAGATAATTAGATAAACAATAGCTTCCCTATTTTGTTGGTTGGGCACAGCTTTACATAAACTTATGTGCAACACTATCCGAAAATACAAAGAAAAAACTCTTCTTACTCGTTCAAACTAGTTAACTTGAACTACTAAGACTTGTAAAGAACACAATTTAAAATTTAAAAAAGTACTCCCTCCGTCCCATAAAATAAGTCTCATTTTCCTTTTTGAGCCGTCCCAAAAAATTGTTCCGGTTTCCCTTTTTGGAAAGTTTTGTGTGGCTAACATTCGTTTACCTTTTTCTTAATCAACAACGACCATACATTTCCACTTTATTCTCACTTTCTTAAACTCCTGTCCAAATTGAAATGAGATTTATTTTATGTGAGGTAGGGAGTACGTATTTTCTTACTCAGTTTGACTACTTTTCCTGTGAGGTTATTTTTTTTAATGGAACTACAAATAAAAAAAAAACTGTATAATGCCATAATGCATTTGATTATTATTTTTTAATTACATAAAGAAAGTTATTGTAAAAGGATGCTCACCGGTTCATCAGTAGAAGCAGCACATGAAAACAGAGACCTCTTCCCCATACTCCTCCTGCAAACAGGGCCGGGTCGGAGCCCAGGGCGCAGTACATTATAGCAAACGGGGCGAGCGATACCCAAAGCCCTGAAACCGTGGGCAGGTCCGACAGAGAGAAAGGACCCGAATCGGAGCTTCGTCGCGGAAGAAGGCGTCAAAGATGGAGTCAAGCTAGGGCTAGACTTCCCTACTGCAATTAGCTGAGCTATGGCGCTCATAGTACGAGATTGGGAGATGGTCGGGGCGAGGTTAGTGCCCGGTGGACAGGAGAATTCAGCAATGCGGTGTCGCCGGCGGTGAAGAGAGGAGTGTCACGTGTTTGGAATGTTGAACGAGGCAGACTTTTTGTTGGTCGGAAATGAATCGCTTCGGTGAAGTGTTGAACGTTTAGTATGGCTTTGTTGACACGTCATGTGCCAAATAGTTTAACGACACATAGTTTCGAAGTAATATTTGTTGTCCACCCGAATTTAGGGTATGTTTTGTTGTTTGAACATTCTAAAATCATTCTTTAACAAATTTGAAAGGATAAAAGTTACGCATGAGTTATAGTTAAAATCACTTCACATATATGCACTGACGGATGTATTCAATGCAAGAGAGTTCATGTGAACACCCTTTAATAATTAACTTCCTCCGTCCCGCTAACAATGGGACAAGAGGGGGTGTCACGCAAATCAATACAAAGTGGTTTATGTGGTTGATATTGAATTGATAAAGTAAAAATAAAGTAAGAATGATTTAGAGCCATACAAATTTTGCCAAATTTGGTATGGGACAATCTTAGTGGAACGGACCGATAAGGTATAACGGGACAATCATAGCGGGATGGAGGTAGTATTAATTAGTATTTTAAGAAGAAAATGTGTAGTTCTGAACACCCAAAATATAAATACTAGGTCCGCCACTGCATATATGATATATTCAAATACTTAAAGTTATATTTATTTAAAATGGAGTTAAAGTTATCATTTAATTAGTTATCTTTTAAAACCTCTCAATTTGGGAGAACTTAAAAAATTGAGCATTTGGAGGGTTACAAAAGTCGTCCAAAATCATTCCCTACATATTTTTAAACTCTCAAACATGAAAGAGATGGTCATAAACCTTTGTCAACCTTCCCCTTCCCTCCAAAACCCAACTCTCAAACATACCCTTAGGGTGTGATTGGGAGTTTGAGGATGAGGGCAGGGAAAGACTTTGAAGGGGAGTAGAGAAGGGAAGGGGGGGAGATGGGAAGGGATCCCTCCTCTTGTTTGGAAGTTGGAAATTTCAAAAGAGGAGGATTTGGGGAC